TATTCATCCACTCTCTTTAGAGTAAAAATGTGAGGAAAGGAAACACTGTAGAAAATGTTTTAAGTGTTTGATACTGAAACAGGTTGTTTTCTACTCTCATATACATCAATTTAGGTATCATTATCAAATGAATTCAACGTGCTACTATAATGGCTCTGTCCTTTGTCTGTTTTGCATAAATTATTAATAGTCTGATTAAAACTCTCTTACCATCTCATGCGCTTCAATGAGACTGAATCTTTACACATTTTGCTCAAACACAGCCATGTTTGGAACTTCATTTATTTTCCTGTCAAATCTGTAACAAGTAATAAAGAGTAAATTCATCATGTCAATCTGCCAATTTCTTTGCGTAAACTTCTGTTGCTGTCATTGCATAACTGTAAATACCATGTAAATCCAAGAAACGATTAAACTTTGTCTTCTGTAGGCGGCATTTACAGAGAAGACAAATGGCTTTGTTCTTCAAATTGGTTCCGTGATTATCCGTTCACTCTTTAATAGTCATACAGTTAGAAGGGGATTTTGCATGACTCACACAAGTGTATAAAAGACATGAAAAACCCACATTTGCTACCGACTGGAAGACAGTCAGAAAATACGAGGGTGGAGAGATGACAGACGAGAGAGAGGCACTGAGCGAAGGAGGAGAGAAACGCCAGTTGTTGAAAGAGGAAGTGCTGTCAATGTGGAGACAGGTCAGTACCTATCTAACTCGTAACACACAGACTTACTTCCTGACATCTTAACTAAGATTAGTATCTTGACTCTAAGCCAGACATATAAGAGCACCTGGTGCATCCTGTTATTCCTCGTAACGTCTCTGTAGGGATACAACTTTACTGAAAGTATGATGCACTACGCCTCTGTTTAATCTCACCCTTCTGAGGGTCATAAATATGGTTAAATCCACAGAAACATATTTCAGGTTACTGATGCTTCCAGACAGACTGAAGGACCTGGATTAGGTTTTTTTCAACGTTGAAAGCCAAGTTGTTAAAGGGAGAACATAAGAATAGTTAAAATAAAAGGGTTAAATGTGTACACAGAGAAGTATTTTTATTCATTTATCGGGAGGGTATGTTTGCAAAGTAAGAGTTGAGATCAAGATAGATCATCATACAGTGTTTTTTCCTCTGAGCTTTTTTTAAAAATAGAGACAAAACATTAAATCCTGCGCAAATTAGATTTTTTTCCTGTTTTTTTCAGTTAAATGAAAATGTTTGCTGTTGTAAACTGTAATCTAGATTACCACAAATTCACAACAATAGACAGTTATTGGTTTATGTGTTATGACTAATTGTGACTAAAAACCTCGGTTGAAATGTGTCATGTGTCATGATCGCTCAAAGCCAACCAGTAATCCACGTGTCTATTTCCCCCTGCAGGATTTCCCCAACACTGAGGTAAGCCCAGACGTGATGACACAGCCGTCAAGTCTTGTCCCAGGTTGAGGTTAATGCTAATCGTGATAGGGGTTGTTCTCTTGCAGACACCTACCATGTTAGCATTAGCTTCACTTTGGGAGATCTCACACAGAAAAAATCTTGGACCGCTCTCAACAGTGATAGCAAGACTGAGAAGGATGAGTCATCGTGGAACTGAGGAATATGATGCGGACAGAAAGTGAAACTGCTACGGACAAACTGTTCAAACTCTATTACTCACAAAACTGTCACGATGCTGCAGTAGTGGCACAGTGAAAAGAGCACACTTCAAAGATTTTAACTTTATGTTAACTCCTTTTCAGCTATTTTAACTGATGACATCTCTTGTCTACATCCTGCTTGGTTGGGAACCTCTTCTTGTTTCCACTGAGTGCACTGTATATGCAATTTGATGGTCTCAGCAACTTTGCAGCCAAGGTCCATTAACCTGAGACGAGGTCTAATCATTCAAAATCAATAAAGGTTCTGATACTTGTTTCAGGTGCAAGACAAATGCTTTAGCGTGACACATCCCTTCAAAATCATTGTAAACAGTAACACTGTATTTCCAGTAACTAATTCGGAATTTGATATGAACCAATTTTGACCAAGAATGTTTCATAAAATGTTCAAGGTGCATTAGTGAAATAATGAAAAACTAAATATAGGCTATATAGACATACTGGTGCCTTTCTCTTATTTATGGTTGCAGATCCTTAGGTAACAATAACAACCTCTAAATGTTTCTCGTTGCTGCACAGAAGCTTATTGCATTTGTCTGCTGGTAGTTTCTGTCACTCTTCCATTTTACTACTTGGTTCAAGTTTGCAGGAATCTTTTTTCTTCAGCAGACATTTGCTCCGTCCAAAAGGATTTAACTCAGGAGGCCAGTTTAAAACATCCTCCTTTGACCTGCTGGATGTGTTGAAAGATCCAAGACCTTCGCCTCAAATCAACAATAGTTTCCTGACACTGCTGCATTTTGAACTAAAATACCTTGACAATCTTCTGACTCTGTTATTCCTTTGATACACTGCATGCCTCCAGTACCAGGGACAGGAGGCCAGCCCCACAAACTCATACAATTATGTTTGAATGTAGTGTTGGCTCATTTTTTTCACCTAATCTGATGCTCTTTTTGGGTTCAACCATCCATATGAAGAGACTGCATTAGCAATTAATGTAGTTTGCAATGATCATTCTTGCCTTTTTGTGCCTTTCTTACCATAATAGTGACATTCTGGCCTTTGTCCATGGAGCCTGATTTGGTTTAGTGTTCAGATGATGGACTCAAACCAGCACTCCTGACCGCTCCTGGTCAATCAGATGCTCTCTCCACAACTTTCACAGATGGGTCTGATTTAGTTTCTTGTCAGTGCTACGTCCTGTAAACATCTTTACCATTTTTGGACTGAAGCTTCTTTAAAACTCTACAAACTGCTGAAATTAGGATCTAAAGAACTTTGGCGAATGTCTCGATGCTTTGGGAATTGTTATGTTATTCCGGCAATTGTGAAGAATGAAGAAATCAAAATCTCAGTTTAAGTACTGAGAAAATTCTTTGGTTAATTCATCATCATCAGGCAAATGAAATAACTAAAATTCACAGTTTTATTTGTACTGTTCTTTTTGTTGGTTAAATGTTTCAGACATGAGGTGAATTATTACCACTGACTGGCTGATATCTGGATGTTTGATATAATCTATAATTAGATTATGTTTAGAATCTGTCTCGTAAATGTAAATGCCGGCAGCTGAGCACATGACAAGGAAATAAAATAAATCCTAAACATCTGAGGTTTCTGTATCTGAAGTTTGTTTTAGTAAAACCAAGCATCAAACTTGTATAATTTTGTGTTTACATGAGAAAACATCTCTGCATCTGCTTTCTCTATGTAGTTCAACCTCGAGTTTTAAATGAATTATAAATATGAAAGATGTTGCCAGCACTTTGAAAACACAGAGCCCAACCTGTTCCCGACAGGATGTCAGACGTTTCTGTGCAGTTCAGCTGTCATGTGTGGTGTTTTATTCTTGTGACAGAAGCTCTGCATGTGTAATCTTTTAAACCACTTTGTCATTAGTTCAGATTCTCTGAAAATGAAGGGGATTACAGCCTTGGCTCCTTAGATGCAGAATATACAGGATTTTAAAGAAAATCCCAACTCATCCACCCACAGATGTTTTTCAAATGTATTGATCCACATTGAGATAAAAAAAAAACATTCATTTCATGGAGGATTTCTCTCACTGTTTGTCATTAGAGGAATTTGCACACAACTTTTAGCAGTGGATGGTTGACTCTATGTTCTGTTCTCAGTTAGGGCTATAAAAATATGTGTGGAGATCGATGATTAATAGTCTATTAATCATCAATGTTACCTAACAACAGGGGATAAAGCTCTTCTCATGAACGTCCCCATGGTTACTTCACTGAACTGATTTCTGACCTGATAAAATTGGCATAAAATCTAATTGGTGTGTGCATGTGCTCATTTTTGTTGCCTCTTGAGGAACCTTTACTAGAATAAACACTAAACTTGTGAGGACTAGTGGACCTGGTCCTATGAGGCAAAACGTTATTTCTGAGCTCCTGGTTAAGGTTTAAACTTGTGGTTAGGTTAAGGTTAGGGTTAGGAATGAATTGTTCATGGTTAAGGTTAGGGATTATGTGTACAGACTGTCCACAACAAAGGGAAGTCAATGCACAGTCTTAGCACAAGATTGCAGCATGTGTGTGTTTAAATGTAGATGTAAGATGACTTCATAAACAGAATAAGTCATGCAGGCGAAGAGTAGTCCTATAAACTAATGTTTAATCCACTATGTTCTATTCTATTCTATATTGTTGATACTGTATCTTGGAGCAAGCTTGAACAAGAATTTCCTTCGGGATTAATAAAATCTTATCTTATTTGATCTTATCTTACAAAACAATCAAAAATGGCATCGTTAAAGGCAACTCTGATTAAACAAAAAGACAATAGAAATACATATTGCCAATATAAAGTCAATTTCACTTCACTTATAATCGTAAATTTACCTCTAGGGCTGAGTCAATGTTTGAATCTTCATATAGAGAAAAACCGCTTTAAGAATTGATTTAATCGTAAAACAATAGAAATAAAAGAGTAGATGTTGATAGTCAATTCGTTCATATGAGGTGGATGATATATAGGATATTAAACCAAAGAACATTTGGGATAATAAGATATTATATGGTTTTGGGGTTTTGTTTAAATAAAAAAAGAGTTTGAAGATGGTGGTGGCACATTGAAGCAACCAACTTCCTCCAGTGAAATAAAGGAATGTATGAAACTAAGTTCGTTTTCTTGTCTCAGTCAATATGAATAAAGTTACACAAGAGAAGTGAAATAAAAAACGCAGCATCCAGGCGCTCTGATACGCACAGTGTGGATGTGGGCGGACCGGTCAGTCAGCTGATGACTACACACTCCGCACAATCTCTGTCCTCAATACACCGATGCTTTTCTAGCCAATTACGCACAATGTGGAACATTTCATCCGCGTGCTGGAGTCGCGGCTCGGTGGGATCTGGCGCGGGGATGAGTGGTCGGCGCGCACCTGGAGGAGACATGCACGGGCTGCGGAAGATTTTCGTGCGCGTCCTCTGTGGTTTATGATACGGAGTGAAACCGTGTGGTCTGAACCTGTCTGTGATGGGGAGCAGCGCATGGAGCTGCGGTGCCGTGATGCTGCTGAGCGTCTTCTGCTGCTGCCGCGCCGCCACTCTGGAGTCCATCCACTGGAGCCGCTCCAATGCAAAGTAGGTGCATGAACCAACTTTGTGCTGCTGCTCTGTGACCTCAGGGACCGACAGGAAGTGAAGACAAGGAACCATAGACTGTACATAAAGAGGAAGCAACCCATTTATAATGACTAATCGGTTAATCGTTGGTGTTGATGAGAGGTTAAAGTAAAACCCTTTTACTCTGTTGTGCATTATTTCAGGTGATTGCATTTAAATGTTCCTGATCAATTATTTGAAGAAAACTTGTGAAAAAGTCACAGACTCACCAAAGCTGTGTTTTCAGTTTGCTGGATTTGCAAAGATGTTCAGTTTATTGTTAGACAAATGAAAGCAGCAAATTATTCCAAGTGAGAAGCTGAAACTAGAGGATTTTTGTTTGGAAAATTATTTAAAACCAAACTGATCGAATAATTCATGTTTTCAGTTTTAAAATGTAAAATTGTCCTGTCTCAGATGAAAACACATCTTTTTCTTTGTGCCTCATGGGCATTTTGTCACTTTTTTTCAGTTTTTCTTTATTCATTGGCTAATTTCAGCAGCTTTTAGAAACGCCAAGACTACATTCATTTCAAATCTTCAAATCGCTGCCACTTTATTAGTTGAAGCAGAGAACAAAAAACAACAACATTGTTTTACAGCTGATTTTCAGTTAAATTTATTTTCTGTTTCTGCCTCAGATTTACTGCAGGTCAGGGTCTGGTCCTGTATCCTCAGATAGGGGACAAGATGGACATTGTGTGTCCCCGGGCAGATGCTTCCCTGGGGGGGAAAGAGGAGTTCTACAGGGTGTACCTGGTCTCCCGGAGTCAGATCGAGAGCTGCTCCATCGACAAGACTGACACGCCCCTGCTGAACTGTGACAAGCCTCACCGGGACGTCAAGTTCACGTTCAAGTTTCAGGAGTTCAGCCCCAACCTGTGGGGTTTGGAGTTCCTCAAGGGGAGGGACTATTATATCACCTGTAAGTCTGATTGGAGTGAGACCTGTGCATGTGCAACATCCGGCATTCGAGTCAGTGCTATAGCAACTGCTTCTTCTAATTTTCCTTCCTGCGACGAGAGGAAGCCATCGTCGTTGGCTCCCTCTCAATTTGTCAGTTTGCGTGAGAATCAAAAAATGTGGCCTCGTTATTGGACCGCTGTCAGTTAAACCAGCATCTTAGTGGCAAGTGATGCATGATATAGAGAGCAAGTCTGACAATGTAGCCTCATCCAGCGCGCCACACTCTGACAGCACACTTCGCTCTGGCAGGCCAGTGTGATTTCAAGGGCTTACATGCCCCAAATCACACAAGGCTTTTACAGCATCAGGCAGATTTGATGGGAGCTTTCATGGCAACGTGGCTTGTAGCCTCTGAGATGTTGTTATCTGACCTAAATGCTGCTAACAAGCCCATGTGTGTGTGGGGGAGTGACAGGGGGTGAACCAAAGTTCTTGGTGTGTGTGTGTTTGTGTAGTTTTTAGTGTGTGAATTGTTTTTGATAAGTTGATTTAAAGTCGACCATCCAAGCTGCATCTAGAGCTGAAATAATCATCAGGCAAATCATTGATTAGTTGATTTAATAACAGAATTACATTTAGTTTGTGGTTCTTTACGTCCTCTTCGCCAAAACTGACATTTTAATTCAAGAGTCATGCAATAAATCCTCTGTTAAGTTATAATCTTCTCTTTTTGTTGGGACTTCTTTACTTTTTTGCTATTGTTTTGTTGTTGTGGCCATCTTTTTGAATCATTTTTGTAATTTTGATGAAATAATGAACATTTTTAAGCATCATAAAGTTTGGATTTATTGCAGAACTATAGTAATAGATTGAATTAGTCTTAGCTATAGGTGTATTTTAGCCATAGATATACCTAATAAAATATCAATCAAGTGTAACTTTCAAATGTTTTAATATCGATTAATCATGTAAGTTATTTATGAAGGAGAAATGTAGCATCCTCTGACACGAATGTCTTAAATATGAAGATTTTACAAGGATATTCTTTGTCTTGTTTGACAGTAGATTAAAATATAACATTTTTGGACAGTTTTATTCAACAATATATGAAACATGACGATGAACTTGAGGCACTTTAACCTGTTTTTTGATGTGATTTTTAAATAATAACAAGTTTGGGCTTGGAAATATGGCCAATTATTCTATTAAGATAAAAAATTAATATCAGTCCATTTCGATAATTATCATGATAAATGTCACACTAGTATTTCTTTTAGATGTAAAGACTGACTTTTGCCCCTGAGTGAAGGTTTTTTGTTTTAACTTTATGAGCATAGTATTACAACGACTTGATAAACAGCAAAACACTTTATAAATCTAAACATAATGATAACTTTTTATATCGTATAATTGAAAATTATATAGTGATGGTTATTTATAACATTTTATTGCCAAGCCCTATAATGAGTTATTCAAGTTGTGAGTTGTGAAATGTGTAGTTGCATGTAGTTTGGTATAGGCTGTGTTGTTTGTGTCTGCATCTATCTGCATAAATGATGCAACATTTGGAAACTGAAGCAGAAATCAAGGAAACTCTATTTTGCTTGATAATCTTGTATTATGAAAAATACATGAAATTCAAACTCAAACAACAATTTAACATTTACCCTCATCTCTGTTTATCAGCCACCTCGACAGGAGCTCTTCAAGGTCTGGATAACAGTAATGGAGGAGTGTGTAGGACCAAATCCATGAAGCTGGTGCTGAGAGTCGGCCAGAGTAAGTACTTTGTGTGTGTGTGTGTGTGTGTGTGTGTGCCAGCATGTTTCTAAAGCTGCAGACATGTGAATGAAAGACAGAGACAGGCTCACAGACACAGGTATCTGACACAGGTATCAATACAGCTAATGTTTGTTCCTGTTCATTATACACGTGATGCAGTAGTATCACCTTCTCTCTGGAATTACTAAATGGTCAGATTATCTCGATCATCGATTCATGCTCTTGAAGAGAGATTACCGTCGTGAATTATCTCAAATCCCTAATTCAAACCGCTGGCAGCTTAAGGCCATCAGTATAATCTTGCATGCCATCATTCGGATTGGTGGTTGCTTTCAATAATCTTTTTTTCTGCTTTAACATCAGAATAGCCGATTGTGTTGTGCTCTTATCACATACATTAAAATTTAATAAATCTGATTCCTAACATATCCACTGCCATAGTAGAGGATGAGTTAGTTTATAATGTTCACATCAAACCATATTGAGGATTTGTATTTTTTAAACCATCACCACAATATTATAATAGTGTCATTTGTAAGTAACCTTTCTGAGAAGATATCTATGTATGAGGATGGTATTAGTGTTCTATGATGTATGTGTGTGTGTTATTGATCTCCACATGATCAGAGAAATCGACAGATGCCGCGTTTCTGTGCATGTTTCTAAATCTTTAAAAAGCTCAAATCTGCTCAAGCCGTAAAATGGAATTTATTTGACCTCAGAAATGTGGAGTATTATTCATAAATGATTCAAGAGTTTGGGTTCGAGATGAAAACAAAATCGCAGCATTTTCAGTTTCTCAACTGATCATAACTGGGAATGTTTTTCTGCTGTGTTTACAAACTCCACGAGTGTAAACAAACCTTTAAAACCATCAGGACACACGAATCACTCCGATTCAGTTGTAATCTCTCGTTAGTGTCCACACATGGTGGGTTAAGTCACGTTTGGGATTCACTGCAGCTTGCATCCATTTTGGTATTTTCATGAACCCGTCTGTTTATGTTTAGATTTATGGCTCGTGCCTGTGACACTGAAAATATGATCATTGGGTTTTCATACGTTTATGGTAAATGTGTTCGAGTGCAAATTCCTGTTACTGTTATAAACCCACAGATGTTAATTAAAAGTGTAGATTATTAAATTGCTTTAGAATGTGGGTCGACTTCAGTACATTTCAAAATGCCATTTGCACACAGAATATAATATTAATCTGTAGTGAGGAATGTGGTTCGATGTTTTTGCCTGTTTTTTGCAGGCCTCCATATTTTCCTTCAACCTGCCATCTTTGGTTACTCCAGCAGTTAAGAGTTTAACTTCCACAAAGCTAAGGAACTTCTGAGAGACTTAAAAAGCAGTGGTGGAAAAAAATGACTTTATTTGAATAAAAATACTGATAAACTAATATTACATTCCTCCATTACAAGTTTAAGTCCTGAATCAACTAAGAAGCAGAAACAGCATGTGCTGAAACTATCAAACTAAAAGTACTTGTTTCATCAGCGTTGATGTGTATTAAATGACCACATGTATATGTGTATCACTGTGGAGATGTTTGAGAAACTCTACTGTATTTACTTTACAGTTTAGTCCAGTGGTTCCCAACCAGGTGTTTGGGCTCCCCCCCGAAGAATCACAAGATAAATCTGTGAGTTGTGTGATAAATCATGGGGTTTAGGCCAAAAGACATCCGACTCCCAGAATATTTTTCACTTTTGTTTTCATTTTTCGAACAAAAGTTTGAATCTTGAGCTGGTGTTTGAATAAAACATAAGACATTTAAAGGGAAGAGTTCTCATGACTGATGACAAATATCACAAAATGAAAGCTACAACATGACTTTTCTTGTGAGGAATCTTATTGTTTTTATTTCTCTTGCTGGGTAATCATAGTGTGACATTTTAGTCATAGCTAAAGTTGTTAGTTAAACTGGACTAAACAGATGACACGATGTTCATCAGAAATGTAGCAAAGGGGCTAGCTGACCTGGTGGCACCTTTCAATGAAGGCGAAATGCTCGATAAACATCTTCAAAAAAAGAAATGTAGTAGAGTTGTAGTATAAAGTAGCATACAATTAAAATGTGCGACAGTAAAGTTCTTAAATAAATGCACCAGTGTCAGACGTGGCCACAACAGTCAAAATCAGAAGAGGCTGGGAAATCCTCAGTGTTAGTCTCTAAAGCTCCATAAAACTGACTTAACACCACTCCTCCTCCAGAGTAACACAAGACGCTCTCTTCTGTCAGGAGTCAGCGTGCCTGAAGTCCTTTCTGACTCAATTCTCTCTTTCTTCCAGACTACATATGCGAATTTGGTGGAATTCCCCCTTACTTTTGATTTCCGAAATTCCTTTTAGAAAAAACCCCAAGGAAATATGTGAATTGGCTGCACTCAGTTATATGTCACACACAAGTTGGTGTAGGTGTAGCTAGTGAAAGTGTTGGTGAGTTTCTTTTTTCCCTCAAGTCCCAGTTGTGACTCGAAACACAACTTTCTGTGGTTTGATTAGTGATAAAATGTTTTCCCCACTTTCTCCTGTAAATGTTTTTATCTGAATGACTGTCAGTGCGACAATAATCAGTCCAGAAAGAAAGACGCTCTGAGGGACTGATGGCAAACACTGATCATTTTGTTATGACAGAACTTCACCTACACCAGAGGGCCACAGATAATAATGAAATGAAAATGAGATGTGAGGTGTGTTCCCTCCAATCATGTGCTGTGATTTTATTCAGGTCAGCTGCTCAACTGTCCTGCTTCATATTCCAGGCTCATCAGATCCACCCTCAATACTCCAGGAGTCTCCCACCAGATTCCCGCCCTCACGACCGAAACCCAAGGCCAAGGACGAGTCTGGGAAAGAACGTGACATTAAAAGCAAAACTGGTACAAAAAACCCAACAGATATTGCCTGGAGAATATGTACAAGTGTTGTCTTTGGCATTTTGACACATATGACTTTTATCACAGAGAATTAGGGCCATGGTGAACAAAAACTCTTTTAAATTTCAAGAAAAATAGACTTAAGTGAAAGTTTAATGAGAAAAAATGTCATAACATCTCGTTATATTATGTCCTTTTTCCCAAATATTAAAACTATTACAACTTTTTTCCTCTGAAAATTACAACTTAATTTTTGTGATTGGAATATTATAACTTTTTTCTCATAAAATTACGATTACATTCTGGTGGTCCTAATACTTCGTAGTAGAATTCACACTTAAGGGACCATTGTAATATTTTTGAATGTTTATACTTGTATACTACAACCTGTATTTAAGAGTATACATAAGCATATTTGTAAATGGTAAATGTAGTGATTATATAAAATACAATACATTACATACCATACTTTTTATTGTCAACAAATTCCATGAATGAAAACTAAAACCAGTGTTAGTTTATGAGACACACCTCCAACTTCAATTCATGTCTGTTGTACTCTGCCCATTGGTTGCTATAGAAATATAAATCTTCACAAATACATCCTCAACGTTTTTATAAAGGCTGGAGTTCATTTGCCTTTAAATAAATGGGGCCTCTGTAGTTTGGAGCATTTCAAACAGGAATGAATATTGCAGTAGTTAAAAACTATTTTCAGCAGGACACTATGTGAAGAGATGGACTTAAAATAAACTGCAGGTCCCAGGTGATGAGTTTTTTGATTCAGTGATAAAGAAGAATGAACAATTTCAGACTTTGGCTACTTATCAGTTGAATCATTAGGATTCATGGGATCTGTTAACTATAAGAACACATTATTACTACATTACAAGTCAGGATGAGTTACATTAAAAAAATAATTGATTTTAAGGTAAACAAGTATGAACATTTGCACTATATGGCTTTAAAGAGGAATATATCTGAATTTCAGCTTTTTGTTACTGAATGAAAAATGTTAACCTTCCTGTTAAATCTAAGTTGTCCTCTAAATCAAACAGAAACATTTTGAAAGGACAGAAAACTGGTCCCCGCTGATACATCAAGGATCAGGGACACATTGTCTTTATTGGTTTTGAATTATCTTCTCTTTATTCCATCTTACATACAAACCTTCAGTCCTCATGACCCATTGACCCGTTCAGTGTCAGAGAAACGCTGTTTACTAGTGTGACACTAAAGATTAGGTCATATACTCCAGTGTCCGGCTTTGACAGAGGTGTTTTTGTACCATGCTAATTCAAACTGATCGCACTGTACCAGGGCATAAACTCAGTGAAACTGTTTTTAAATCTCTTTGTCACGTGTCCCTTTTCACTCTTTCATCTCAGTTTCCCCTTCTCCTTTTTCTTCCTGCCTCCCCTCTTGTTTCTCCTGACAGACGCAGGCTCGGACAAAGGACAAACAAACCCCAGTGGCGGCGGTGACTCTAAGACACAGCTGTTCGTGTGGGTTTTCTCCGGCTGCGTGATCGTCCTTCTTGCCGTCATTATTCTGCTGGTGTTGCTGTGGAAGCACCGTCACTGCCACTGCCTCCCAGAGAGGCAGCAGTCCGCCTCCATGTCCCTCAACACCTTGGCCGTGCCAAAGCGGGACAGCATCAGCAGCGACAACAACGGCTCGGACCGCAGCGACGTTGTTTTTCCTCTGCGGCCTTCTGACAGCATGATTTGCCGTCACTATGAACGAGTGAGCGGAGACTATGGGCCACCTGTCTACATTGTTCAGGAGATCACACCTCAGACTCCAACCAACATCTACTACAAAGTCTAATGTTTGCCGCTCTACTCTTTTGCTAACATGTTAACCACGTTTATGAAAATGGACTCCACTTTCTCCCACTGTAGCCAGAAATGAAGCCAAAACATCCCAGATACAAACGATGCCATCTTGTGCATTGGGAGCCAGAGTCTGTGTCAGTAGCGCTCTGTGGATGGAGCCACGGTGGCGAGGTCCCGTCGATACGCACATTTGACCAATCATGAGTCGACTCAGCTGTCAATCATGACGTTTCCCCCTATTTTTATAGCAACTAATTCAATTCCAACTCACTGGAAAAAAGGAGAACTTGAACAAACATCAGTATGACAATAACTACCTAAACTGACGAAACCACCTTTTGAGAAAAATGTATTTGATTTGTATTTGATTGATGTGTACTTTATGACCTATACTTCAGCCAGCCACCAGGTGGCAATTGAGACACTTTGGCTTCACTTCTTAGGAGCCATCATATCGTCCATCTTTATAAACTAATGGTTAATAATCCTACATTTCATTTCAGGCTACAGTCTGTGACACAATGTTCCTGTGACTGCAGCTGTAGAGTTTGTAGCATTTAAAGGAAATGTTGGGACTTCATCTGAGAGCTGCATGTCAGTCTGAACACTTGTTGGGGCACAAAAAGCTGTCTAGCTTTGTTTTCTTAGTGAAGAGACAATCAGAGAGATAAATGGTGTCACGACATATCATTTAGTTGTTGTGTTCAGTTTGTGGGTTATGTCCTGTAGTGTGCAGCGAATGCCAGTTTGTTTTTGTTTGTATTTTACTAAGTTTCTCCCTGCTACTCAATGTGGCAGCTTCAATGTGTATTGTGTTTAATATATTGATAAAATGGGGAAGAGGGATTAACATTGCACTAAAATACACTAACTTTGTGAGCACTTATAGATTTAACATAATTGAAGTTGTAAACTTTGTTTGAAAAGCTGTTTGGTAAAATGAAAATGATATCGGGCCTTTTATTGTAGTAAAACAGTTTCAAGGGATTTCCCCTCGAGCTTTCTGGTCAATGCAGTTTCCTTTCCATTTTAAAATGATCTGTTACTATATTGTATTGTAAAATCAGAGGTCCCAAGCCACAGAAATAACATTTTCAAATGTAATTATTTATCACAGGATTTTGTTTTGTTACTTGTCAGTGTCTCATCCTTTGTGTGCGTTACGTCTCTTCTTCCCAAAGCCAACAAAGTTAAAAGGTAGAAGTGTCTGAAACAGGCAGGACATGAAAATAATATAAAGGAGAAATGAAAGTTTGAGTTAGAATAAATGGTGATGAATCACAATGCACTTCCCGAGTGATTCTTCACAGAGCAACATGTCATCATGCGTGATGACTTCAAGTAACAGTATGTGACAGCAGCAACACTATTTGCATAAGATCATCATGGTCTTATTCTGAGGTTACAACCACTGTTTTCTGTTTTCTGTTTGAAAGATTTGCAGATATTTGGATTTATTTTAAAACTTAAAACCGTCTGGATGATTTCTGGAGGTTGAAGTTATAAAATGCCCTCAGGGGCATGTCTCTCCATTACTCTTCTAATGATGCTCCTGGGAAAGTGACTGTCACTCTGCAGTTAATTGTAATCTTACACCTGACAGGACAGAAAAAGGAGTCATTTTCTTTTGGCACAATCTCTCTTGAACTCCTCGCTCAGTTGCAGCATCGCCTTCGCAATAATTTACCAACAAAAGCTATTAAATTATCTATAAAGGCAAAGAAAATATATTTCAACATAAAAAAAATGTTCAGTGCATAATTGTCTCAGTCTCTCCTGTGGTGCTGTTCACAGCATCCATGGGTGAACATGTTTCATGCTCCCTCAGCCACATCATGCGGCACATTTTCAACCTGTCAGCTTCCATGAGCTTCCTCTCCACCAGGGACACTGTTGCCTCTGAAAAGACGATCACCAGGACATGTGCTCGGTGCATCAAACAAGGCGACCGTGCAGCTAGAATTAAACAGGTGCTCTACAGGAAAAATATAAATGAAATGTTTCCTTTTGACTAAATCTTCAGTGAAACTTTTTGAGTGGGTTACATTCGCTTTCACAGTGAACCACTTTTCTTTTTCGGCCTGTAACCTGATACAATACGTTTGATAAAGAGCTGCAGGACTGGGCGGCCTCATTCTTGTCCTGCAGCAAAACACAATTTCCCCTCTGGCAAGAGATGTGTTTTAAAATATCTAAGGGACAGTTAATAGAAAATGTGCCAAAGATAACTTCATCACTCCTTTCTATAATTGACTTCTTTAATAGACTCGATGTGTCCTGGCCAAAAAAAACCCTCTTAATTTTTTTTAAATGTGGAAACATATATTCTAACTGTACGGTGAACTATATACTCTAATAAACCACAGCTTTTGATTATTTCTAACTACTTTTACTTGCTTTAATGTCAAACAGAGCCGTTTTCTGTGCCCCCCCCCCCATGTGATCCTTGCGCTTGTGAGATGTTTTTGTCCTGTGTGAAGCTTCACAGCTGAATGGGCTGTGGTCAGGCGAGGTGAGTTCAGTTGACCTGGGGGTCAGTTCGAGACAATGGATGGCCAGGCTTGTATGGGGCGAACAAAACAGAGACCCCCAGACTCATGGCCCCTGATGTGGGAGGGGCTTCAGGCATGGTAGGCCATTTTTAAAAAAAGCTGGCAGATGTGGCGCTTTATCTGAGGGGATGTTTTGGATCCCAGGTACAGACTTGAATATATTTCAAGGTCTACCAGCATGTTGTTTTGAATTCCCACATTTTACATGAGAAGTGATTTCTTTGTTGTTTTACAGTGAAATAACAATGATTGTAATCTTGTTTACATGTCTGATGGCTTTTCCTTCATCTGTCTCCCTAACTACCAAAAGAAATGTGTCGTCCTAAGATGCTTTTGTAACTGATTCCTGCTCCGATAAATCTTTAACCATCATTTGTGCAGAGAGCATAGAGCTGGAATGAGGAGGGTGGGGGTCGAATGATGAGAGCCAAACGCTTTCATCTGACCCCATGGGACAATGTGAAGTCCACAACCTCCCTGTGTCCACCCACCCCCCACTTCACTTCCATATGCAGAGGAACTAGCCCCACCGCTGGCTCCTGGTGTGGGGGGTTGGGGGTCATGACTGAGAACTCAACACAGAGAAGAAGGAGAGGAACAGATATTCTGGATTTTAGGGGCGAGGAGTTTTCTAGTTGTGGCTCAGTTTGAGGAGTGTGAAGCTCAACTGAAGCACAGCACGGATAAAACAGGACAAAAAATAAACATCTGGTTTTACAGAAACATCCTCGTGCATCACAAAGAATGTTACAGTAAACAAGTTCAAATGTTAAACCTATTGATGGGTATTGATTTGCTGCTTTGTATGAGATCTTCAAGTGTTTTCTCTTGAGTGTGTTGCTCAAACATGATGTTCTCTTTTTAACACTTCAGGAAGTCCAGCGATGGGGAAGTTGTGGTCTTGTTACAGTTGACAAATCCATAATATCATAGTACAGTATTTAGTTTGCTAGTTCCCTCTGCTGGCCGGCTCCTATACTGTATTATCTTCACTGTGACAAGCGCATTTCATTGTACTTCCATGATAATGACTTAGATTAATGTGGGAAAGGTGTAAATGAATTTGGAAGTTAAAGGGTCCTCTGTTGTTTCTTTGTTTTTAAACTCGACGACTTTATTCAGTGTTTTTCATCATTTATTTAACTGTACTCACATATTTGTGATGAGAACAAAAACAACGCAGGACAGATGCTCTTCGACTTTTTCTTAAAGCTCCAATCGATGATCATACCAGTAGATAAAGAAGTCCTGAACACCTTTGGGTAGGTGTCTGATTACAACAACGGAAAAAAAGAAAATATTGGATAATCCTACCCCTGTAGACCACAAACAATTATTTTAATGAAACGGTGATAAGTTCAGAGAGGAAACATCTGTTTGGTAGAACGGCAGAAAACTCCTAATGGAACATGACAAGTGGCCTAAAGTACAAATTCTTGTTTGGTGTTTGATGTATTTTATAAGATTAACATGTTTATATGTGTAAAATCTTTGTTTCAAAAGGGAAATAAAACTCTCTACCTGAGGCTTTGTACTATTTCCATCGGAAAATTGAGGGAAAAAAGTGAAGTAAACCATTTTAGTTGTACGCCCTGTCGATCTCAAGTTTAAAGAAAGGGATCAAAATTATGACAAATGATCTGTAGGTTTTCATTTGATGATGAATAACTGTGACTCTTTTTCATCAAAGAAAAAACATTCGATGTAATCATTGTATTTTTGGTAAAATCAATCAAACATCTGAAGTATGTGTTTGAGGTTTTTATTGGTCGATGTTTTACACCTCACTCTTAAACATTGTTTTTACTTTTACAGATTCTATTGAATCTACAGAGATTTTTACTCAGAAGAAGAAAAAAACTGTGTTGAGCCTGGGCCCTACATCCTGCCTGAGGCCCCCAAATTTGCTGCAATGCTCGACTGCTCCTCTGTTGTGGTTTATTGGCTCCTTGCCTTTGCTCTTAAAGTGTCCTCAACATCCAGACTTCTTGTTTCAAATCTGGGAAGAAAGCTACACCAGGGCGTGAGCATTTTTACTGTGAGCATTAAAAGTTATAGATATTTTGGTTCATTTCAGAGAGGAACACAAAACTCAAACGAACAAATGATCTTTAAGAATTTTCAATCCTGCACAAGTTTGAATTACTCTGATTTTCCACATGATACAAACGACACATCTAGTTTTAAACAATTAGTGCTATTGTGTTTTGAACTATTGTGAAAGCAAAAAAACATAAATATCACTAACAGTCTAATGTTAAAAACTTCTGTACTACCTTGAAACAATTCTTTAAATTACATCTAAAAAGTTTTTTAACTGTTAAACTTTTTGTTTCCTTATTCATTATCATTTTCTTTTCAGTTCAGGTAAATGTTTTCAGTTAATTATCTGGGGCTGATTTTTTGTGAAACTGTAGTAATAAAGTCTGTGGATTTTTTGTTGAGGTGTTTCTTAAAACTAAAAGTTAGATTCCATATTGCTTTTATATTTAAGGCTTTTTGGAGACTTAAGTGAAAGAAGAATTAACATTGTCATCAAGCAAAAAAATCATAGTTTGGACAGAACTTTATTTTCACTGCTCACAACCATCAGAGTCTGGATTTATGTATGAAATAGAGATACTGTAGATAATGTATTTATTTTATGTTAAGTTTTTGTTGACTTACATATATGT